TCATAGATGCTGCAGATTGAGAACAAACACGAGAATACATTTCTCTCCAAATGAGTAACTAATAAAGGGAGTCCATGGGAACAACAAACGAAGGTGCAAATAAGGAAGATAAGGAGCACACACCATCAGGCAGCAGAAAGTTATACTTTCATTTTTATTCCCAGCACACAGTAAACTCTGGGCATACTCACATGCTTTGCTACCAGCTGGCTGCAGTTGTTTTGTAACAGCAGCCCTGGATGGTAGTGCACATGATGCAGAACAGCAGCTTTTTGTCTTTTAGGAGGTTGATTAACACACTAGGGCTCAACAAATATTCTTAAGGAAAGGAGAAATAGCTTCCTATGAAGACAATAAATCTTAAGTTTAGTTCTTACCTTAGAGCTCCTAACAATGACTGGGTACTTCAGGCCTGTAACAGAATTAGATAGAAGTGTAAGTAGCCTTAAAATGGAGCCCTGTGGAACCCCTCTACTGGCTGTCAGCCAGCCTGATGTAACCCCATTTGGTATGGCATTTTGAGATCCACTCATCAGCCAACTGCTCAGCCACTGCATTCTGTTTTTGCCTACCTGTATGCTGGACACTTTGTCTAGAAGACACTGTGAGAAACAGCATCAAAAGCTTTGCTAAAATCCAAAAACGTCCTATCAAATGGCTTCCCTTGCTCAACCAGGTGTGCCAACCTTGTCATAACAGGAGATTAAATCCATGAACAGGACTTTCCCCTTGTGATCTCATGTTGGTTGTGACCAACGACTACATTGTCTTCCAAGTGTTGTTAATAACTCCCAGAATAATCTTCATAATTCCACCAGGCACTGAAGTGAGGCTGACAGGTCTGTAATTACCAGGGTCTTCCCCTGGCAGACTACAGAAAAGCCACTCCTGGACGTATGGTTGGACATAATTACATTTATAAACTGCTGTTTTTCTACCCTTCCACAATCTGCACTCTGTGCATCACTCCAGATCCAACCCACCCTCTAGGATAAAGAAAGAGCACTGTCACAAGCACACAAATGCAATATTCAACTAAATCACATTCTAACAGGAGAGAACAACCTATTTCCCATTTATTATACTGTCATTTTCACACACTAAGTATTTCAACTGAAGGCTGACCTGCCTGGGAAAAACAGTGAGCTTGCTGAACACTCTCACTAACACCATTATGCCTTTTGTCTAAACACATCACAGACAGAAAGGCTAGGAAACGTGATTTCAATTGACACAAACATGTTTTGAACAAAATCTCTTTCAGGACTATAGCAAAAAGAAGGCAAAAACTGCCTTACCATCTTCATTTCCTGAAGAACTTTCTTTAGCCATCTCCATGTCTGTAACTTCAAAATCAGTCAAGATTGTTCCACCTGCTTCCTGGAAGTCTTCAGCATAGGACTGAGCCACTTGTCTGTAATCCACAATGCCAGTATATGGAGAATCAAGGGCCATCAGACCCTGAAATGGTATTCAGATACACACACACACACACAAAAAAACCCACCAGTGAAAGTTGTATGCACACTTTGGTCTTTGATACAGATATATTTGATATATTTCCTCTGGAATAACGCACACTGCCACTGAGAATGGAGTTCTGCTGCCTCCCCATCCCTGGCTGCTTGTCCCTCACCTCTCCACATGCCAGCTCCAGTAGCAGTGTCTGCGTTTACTGACAACTAATAAGGTGAAAACCAATTACAGTGGGTTAAATAACTGTGAAACCACAGCATGAACAACTATTCCTGACATAATTCTGACTCAAGTGCAATGTATTGCAAGACCATTCAAGCCCCCTATGTTTAGGAGGAAGGGATTCAGTTCAGGAAGCCAAAGCAAGCGGAGGAAGGCTGAATCCAGTCATCTGCACAAGTCAGTGCTCAGCTGAGTCTTGAACACAAAGCAAAGAAAGTTTTAAGGAGTGGATACAAAATGTATGAAAAAGATGAGAAAGATTTCCTTCCACCAATGTTTTGTATGTACCTGCAACCACTCAAAAGCAGTGAGTCACACATCTACAGCAAGACCAAGCTGCCAGCTGAAACTGTAGAGGGAGTTTACATCCACATTCCTTTCCATCAACAACAAACCAAACAGTAACAACTCTGTAACCCACAAACTGCTCACATTTCTACTGCTGTCAAAATAAACAAGCTGAAAGGTGCCACAACATGGGTATGAAACAACGCCATCAAAATTGCCTTGATACCAATCTGTATTTGCAGATGAAAAGACAAACTCATCGCTGCACTATCAAATTTGACACAAGCTATGTAATTTTAGTGGGAAGGTACAGAACTGTCTTAGCATAAGCTCAAATGCAGCAGTTCTGGACAAGGGAAAGTCTGCCAATCAACCACAAAAACACACAGGCAGGCTCCTGCAAGTAGAAGAGCAAACAATTTTTTAAAATCAGGGAGAAATTATGGTGGCTTTCTTTTCCTTTCTTTTTTTCTTCCCTGAGCACATACATATGTGAGAGAAAACACCTCTGTGTAAAGCTGAGCAAAGGCTGAAGTTCAAATAGCTTGTAGACCTATTTGCTTATAGATTCAGTCCTACAGAGGGGCTGTGGAGTCCCTCTAGAGTCACTTTGACTGAAATAATTCTGATTTCTTTGATAGGTTGATGTTAATTACCCACTCCTCAGTTTGTGAATGCTGGCTCTCGTGACACAGCCAGCATTTCACCAGCAATTAGTGCAGCAGCAGCAGCTCTTAATGACCGCAGCACACAGAGAACGGATGAACAGTGAGCAGAAGAAAACCTGGGTAAAAATATCCATCAACACAAAAGATTCTGTAGGATCACCTTATAATGTGATAGACCTGGTCTGAATTCCGTGTAATGAATCATACATGTGAAGAACTGGCCTTAGTTAAGAAGTCCCAGAAATGAATGGAGCTGTACTTTTGTGTTGGCAGTTACATTTCTTCCAGGCTTTCAGGGTCTTCGGAGCTTAACATGCATGCAAATTCCCTCAAGGTAGAAACATACTTACCTTAAATTCAAAAATATCATCACCTGAAAAGCTGAGATCTTGCATGACAGCTAAATGTAAGAAAATCCCTTACCCTGCAGAAGGGTTCTTTTGCCTGTATTTCTTTTGTTCCAATCAACTTCAGACCTCGGACGTTGTTCTGGAGCCCTCTCTCATACAGAGCTTTGAGTCTTGGGATTTCATCTTGTTCAACAGCTACAATTAGCTACAGAAAAGATAACAAAGCACACTAGTGAGCAAAATACACAAAGCCCGTTCAGGCTTGGCATCAATCCCAAGCTAAGAGCAAGCAATAGTGAGAGCAAACATTGAATTAGAATGGAAAGGGGAAAAAAATACCTTGCACCACTACTGGCACAAGTTGGTAAATACCATCCACCACTGAGAAAGCACAATACAGTAAAGACAGTGAAAAACAAACGTTAATGTATCGTTTCAATGACCATCCATGGAAAATATTTGCTAAAAGTATTATGGGATCACAAATCTGAAAGAAGAGACGATGATTTTAAGGAGCCACTGGGATGCCTCCAAGGAGACCACACTGACCTTAATGCAAGAGGCACAAATCTCAAAACTGTTTTGGTATCAGAGTAAAGGATGGGCTCTGATACCACATCTAAACTGAAGTGCAGCAGCCTCCCTTCATTCCAGCATGCAGTTGGATCATTACTGCAAGAGATTTATCCAGGCTGTCTGCACCAAGGACTCTAGAAGCTAGCTTGCACAGGCAACACTACTTGCAGCCCCAGCTCAGCTCTGGGAACACTGGTACCTTTGCACTATAGGGCACAAAGTTGTCCGAGCCTGGGGTTGCTTTGTTTTAAAATCAGCTATAAACATTCATAATCTTCCCTGGAATACATATTGCTGAGGAAGGTGATGCACAAAGACACACAGTGTCAGCAAAGGACCAAGAACACTGGTAGGACAGTGCTAGCCCTTCCAAAGCACCACAACCTCCCAGCTGGTTCCCAGTTCTGAGCTGGGAGCTGGCTCCTAACTGCGGGTGTAAGGGCTGCACAAAGCCACACTGCCACCTTGTGACCAGTGTCACAGCTCAGGCTGCACAGCTCTGTGCACACAAACGGATCCACCTGCACTGCACATCGCAGGTACCTCTGCTCTGCGTCCCCATCTCTGGAAGAGATCTGCACCCAGTTCGCAGCTGGTGCTGAGGAAAAGCCACTGGGCTAGCGGCCATCACATCAGCCACCATCTGCATTTTTAAGGGAAAGGCCTTTGTTACCCAAGATATTTCTGAGTGACCTGAAAAGGGGAAACCAGGTAAGTGAGGTAAGTCAGGTGACAGCTCAAAGCAGCTCCAGGTGATTTTGATACTTCGTGGAGGTGATGCTGAAGAACTACAGAGGGACATTCTGAGGCGAGCAAGAAGTGAGCAAAATGGCTGATGAAATTCAGCACAGGTGAAGTGTGAAATGATGTCCACAGAACAAAAAGTTTTGGCCTCTTACACAAAATGATGGGCGTCAGGTTCCAAGTTACTGCTCAGGACCAAGATCTTAAGAGTTATCGCAGGCAGTCCTATGAAAACATCAGCTCCATGTCTTGTGACAGTAAAAATGTCCCAAATTGTAAATTGGGAACTATTAGGAAAGGGGTACAAAGCAATAGTGGAGAACTGTAATATTTCAGTGCAAAAATCCAGAGTCTGACCACATCCTGAATGCTGGAGCTCATCTTGTACCAAAGATGCATTAAACTACAAATGGTTCACAGAAAACAAGATGTGAGTAACAAAAGGCACGAAACAGCTTCTCTCACAGTAGTGACTAAGCAGGCTAAGAGTCACCAGCTGCAAGAGCTGATTTATGAGGAGCAGGAAATACAAAATGATGCATGACTGGGAAAATGTCAGCACAGACTGATTGTTCAGCATGTCTTCCAATTAAAGGGCCAACAGGCATCAGATGAAGCTAGCAGGAGCTGGTTTCAAAACCAAAAGGGGTAGCTGGGCACGGGCTCACGCAATGAGTTGCTGATCTGTGAAACTGATTTTAATTGAAAAATGCTTGGACAAGAAATCCATTGAATTACCACAGACAAGCCAGATAAGGCTCAGAGTACAACTGTGAACCTGAACTGAAAGCACGTGGAATCTGGAAGAATTAGTAGATTTGCTTGTCTAGTTCTCATTCCTTCCTCGGTCTTTGGCTGTAGACACTTCCAGACACAGGTTGCATACATCCTGATCTGAACCAGTATAGCCACAATTCTGTTCCCAGCACTTTGAGATGTATTACCTGGATGTAACATGACATACATGCATGTAGCTGGGTCACATCTGAAGCTGTATTCAAGTCAGTGAGTCTTCTCAGAGCTTGTTATGCCAAGATGCATACTGAGAGCCTTTGTGTTCCTTGGAATTAATGGCTCTGCATGGGTGCCTGCCATGGCACTTTGCTTCCACTGTTACCTGGGCTGATTCAGCTCAGCTCCCAGATAAGGAGAATAATTGCTTAGGGTCAGTGAAGGAACTGATTTGGGTAGCTGAGAAAAAGAAAATATGAAAGCACCTTTGTCTGGAAGGCTGTAAAAAGCATCTCTTGGGAGAAACCACCATAGCCAGGCATAGACAATACACTGTAATATATATTATACAGTTAGAGTTTGCAAAGTAGTTCCTATACCTTCCCACATTGTTTATATGGTATTCCCTTCTGGTCACAATACTCATAGCAGAGAGCTGCACCTTGTACACACAGCTTGGCTTTCAGGGATCCAGGAGTGTAGTATATGCCACTGTGAATCACACCGCTGTTATGTCCACTCTGGTGATGAGCTAAAGAGAAAGAAAAACGCACTGTTAAAATACACCATTGGAATCCCACGATTGATTATTTCACCCATTAGAAAAGTGTGCTATTGGAGGTCCTGCCCTAAAACAGTGTCATCGCAAGACGTGCTGATATAACATAACCACACAGCACACACAATTCCACCCTGGGTTTCAGAAGGTTAAAAAAAATACAGCCGTAGCAACACTTAGTTAATAACTAACTAACTTGAAATGTGCTGAATCAACATGAGGGGGCAGCAATTTTTTGCTCCAAGCGTTACAACAGCAGGCCAGATCATCCAAGCTCCTATGCTAAGTTTAATTAATTCATATTTTACAGTGAAATATATCCTTAAAGGCCTCACTTAACATAAAGTCAGTGCGACAGTCAATTGTTTGGGGCATGTTGGGTCCAGAAGGCTTTTCAAGGTCTTGTGAACTGCATCAGCTTGCTCTTTAACTTCTTCAGTTTACTCAGTTACTTTGCAACCAGGTCACACGGAGTTGAAAAACATCAATACCATTTTTACGGAAGGAATTGGGCACGTTTTCTCTCTTAAGGTATAGAGTCATGGAGTTGGAAGGGACCACTAAAGGCCACCTGGTGCAGCTCCCCTGCAGCCTGCCCTCTTCTTTGGGGATTGCTCAGCAGCACTGAAATTACAGGGCTCCGGCTTTCTTATCTCAAAGCCAGGCCAGATGTCCACATGCCTCGACATTTCCTGCATCCTTAAGCACGCTGGAAATAAACCCCCCAGCGTCTGAGGCAGCGATGGGAGCCGTGCCGCTTCAGTGCTGGCCGTACACAGAGAGCACCCTGAGGAGTAACTGCAGGAACCGCAGATCCAGCCAGGCGGAAGGGAACCTTAAAGGCCATCCAGGCCCCGCCGGCCGTACCTACTTGCCGCTCCTTCTCCAGCACGACGAAGCTGAGCGCGGGGTGCCTCAGGACGAGCTGCCGGGCGGCGGCCAGCCCCACGATTCCCGCACCGACCACCGCTACGTCGAACGTGCTGCAAAAACAAGGGGCACGGGTGTCAGCGCGGTCAACGCGAGGCGGAGCCGGGCCGTCCCCGAGATCCCGTACCGCCCCGGCCCTCACGGAGCGCAGCGGCCGCGGCCTCACCTGCGCTGCCGGACCTGAGCCCTCCGCAGCGCCGCAGCCACACCACGGCCGCAACGCCGCCCGAGCAGCGCCGCCATCTTGTGGGCGGCCGCGGGCAGGGAGGGCGGCGGAGGGCCGCGCCGGGGGAAGGGCGCTGGGCTGGCGGGGCGGGCGCTGCGGGTGACGTTTCCCTTCGCCTTTCTTTCCCCTTGGATTTTCGAGATGCTGTTGGGAAAACTCGCGCAGCCGGCGCGCAGCTTGAGCGAACGGCTGTCGGCGGGCGGCTGCAGGCGGTTCTGGGGCTGGCTGAACGCCGTGTTCAACAAGTAAGGGGCTGGCGGCGGGGCGGGACGAGTCCTCCGGATCTCTGCTTCTGTCTTCGTTCCTCATCGGCCTAACGAACAGCCTGTGTCAGAGTGGATCCAAGGGTTCATGGAAACCCAGAACGGCCCGGGTTGGAAGGGACCTCAAGGATCACGAAGCTCCAACCCCCCTGTGCCATGCAGGGCCACCAACCTCCACATTTCATAGCAGCCCAGGCTGCCCAGGGCCCCATCCAACCTGGCCTTGAACACCTCCAGGGATGGACGGGGCATCACAGCCTCTCTGGGCAAAATAATAAGGGTTCCAACCACTGCATTTAGAGTGCTGTAATTCCTGAGGGAAGAGCGCTCATGAATGGCTTGTGTGTCACAGGTGTGAGAAGGGTTACTGCGAGCTGAGTCAAGCTGTGTTTGTATTCCTCCATTAACAAAGTGATATTAAAGGAACAAACGAACGACACACAACAAACCGTAATGCCAGACTGATTAAGAACCAGCCTGAGGCAGGGAGCTGCTTTACAGGAGTGTTGCACTCCGTGATCTCCGGAGGTCCCTTCCAACCCCTACAATTCTGTGATAATAAATCTGACACCTTATAAGAAACATAAATGCTCTGCCTGGCTTTGCAGGGTGGACTACGAGCGCATCCAGGCTGTTGGGCCCGACAGGGCAGCCTCAGAGTGGCTGCTGCGGTGTGGAGCACTGGTACGCTATAAAGGCTATGAGAAATGGCAGCAGGACTACAGCGGCCTCCCCACGGGGCCCTTAGGGAAATACAAGATAGAAGCAATCAACGCCACTGAGTCTTGCATCATGTACAGAGGATTTGACTACTTGGGTAAGGTCAAACAACATAGTTCTTGTATGTACCAATGTTAATAACTGTTAATAAATGTTAATACCTCGTTCCGTAGTAAGATGTAGAGAAATCTGGTTGGTTGGTTGGTTGGTTTCCTTAAAATTCTCCTACAGAGATTCAGCAGTTCTAAGGTTTTGCTGGAGGTGTGCTAGGAAGCAGGAAGAAAGATCTCAGCCTTTACTTGGAGCGGCAGTAGCACTAAGGAAGTGCACCAAAGATTGGCTGTTCAATTAACTTCATAGTTAAGAGGTTGGTTTAAAAGAAAAATAGTGTTTAAAATAGTGCCTTTCACCACCAACTGATGGTTTTGGTGGCTCTGAAGCCATAATACTGCTTGTCCTCCAAGAATTTATGATATCTTCAAAGTCAGTAAAAGAAAAAAAGCATGCATCCATTTCTTATAGAGCATAAAAAGATCTAAAAGCGTTTCAGTTTTCCTTTAGATAACAAAAACCAGAGTGGGGATTAGCACAGTACAGCATTCCTAATTCAGAATCATTCTTTTTCACTCAAACTTGCGGAGTTTTGTTTGTTACTTGCCTGTATCAGAGCTTTAAGGACATTACCTTAGGATGCCAAAAGGAGGTTGTTCATAATTTGAAGTCCCACAAGAGGGGACTTTGGAGATTCATTGTGCATGAGGTCCCTCTTGCATGTAGGAGTGTGCTTCTGTGTTACTACATTTGCAAGGGGGAATGGAACAGCCAATACTGCTTGTTGCTGGTACTCTGAAGCCAATGTTCCTTTTTGTCTTTTCAGATGGTCTTGAACACGTTACTGAAATCAAGCTGCAGAAGTGTATTTATATACAGGATGAGTGTCTGCAGAGGCTCAGCGACACTAAGAACCTACAAAAGAGCCTCCTGCAGCTGAAGATTATTTCCTGTGGGAATGTCACAGATAAAGGCATCATTGCACTTCACAAGCTGACGTACGTGAACTGCTGAGCTCTTCTGTACCAGCCCACAGTGCTGGGTTAGGTTGCTTGGGAACGCTGAAGTCTGACTGTTTTGTGGGCTGTTCAGATGTGTGGGGCCGTGGGAGGGCTGGGATTAAGGAACTGACCTGAATAAAACCTGGGAGGGTGGCACTGCCACTGCAGGAAATACTTCAAGTATGATTGAAAATAGTGTTGTGGATAGCTTTGAAACGACACGTGAATTAATATGTATGTGTTAATCAGCCTCTTCAGGTTGGTATCAGGTACTTAATGCAGCACTGAAGCTTGCAGCTGCAAAAGCCAGAATTGTCTGTGACAGCGTGTGAATCTCAAGGTTTTGCTTCTACCCTTGGAGCTGAGTGCAGCACATTCCCCCTTTCCACATGATGTTACTGCACAAATCAGAGCAGGACGTGCCCTTTGTCAACACACAACCTTTGCAAGAGCAATAGGAATGGTGTCAGCACACCAAGATGGTTTTGCTTGAGAATAAGAAACTACTGACAACCATGGCTTCTACTCATGACACCCCTCTGTGCTGCAGATGCTTTTCAGGGCAGGTTTTCATGGTGTCTTTTGTTCTCACCTTCCTGCATCCTACACTGCTTCCTGTCACTTGGTTACATTGTGCTCACTGTAGCCTTAGAGGTCTCAGGAGTTCTCTCTTGCAGTGTTCAGCCTGGGAAGAGGTATGGGTTGGATACAGCACCCTCCTATAGCTTGGAAGCACATCATGTGTGCTTTATTGATTAAATTTAAAGGAAGCTCAATGATGTTGAGTGGCCAGGACCTCTTTGTAAACTGTGTACAAGTACTGACTTTGTTATCAACTAAAAACTTCAAGCACTCCATTTGGAAAAAATCTTCTGTGAGAATCATTAACCTTTCAAATACTCGTAACAGCTGCAGTAGAATCATCCTTTGCCTGATATCTGAGCCAGCAGTTAAATAGTAGTTGCCGACTTTTCTTCTTATGTATTTATAGGAACCTTGAATATTTGTACCTGAGTGACCTTCCTGGAATAAGACAGAAAGAAACTACTGCTCGTGTCCTTCAGCAGGCACTGCCAAACCTAGAGCTGGAGCTGGATCTGGACTGAATGCAACGAGGGATATTTGATTTCATGCTCTTTATCACATGTTGTGTAAATTAAGTTGTGGATGCTGCTCTGTTTACAGGTATGGAAATAAACCCAGATCTCTCAATCCAGCCTTAGAAGTCATATGCAGTCTTTTAGCAAATTATGCAATTAAATTTAATTAAGCTTAAGGATTCTGTGTGTAGTAGTAGGCTTTATAGGAAGCCTTAATACGTCAATCAGAAGTTACGAACTACTGTACTGCACAGAAGTTCTTGTGTAGAATGTCAGTGAACAGAATGTCAGTATTGTGATGCAGCAGTGCTGTGCAGATTTATGAGACAGTGTTGATGCCATGTGAATCATAGAGTCACAGAATCCTAGGAGTTGGAATGACAGCCATGTACTTTGTCTGAAGGTGTCACCTAGTCAGTGAGTGACAGGAGCTCCTGGGCCTTTTTTCTGCTGTTCACTCTTTGATTGGCAGAGTCTTTCTTTGCTTCCATTGGACTGAGCTGCAGACAAGCAGTCTATCCTCATAAAATCTGAGCTGATGAACCGACTATCTGGATTTGTGGAGAGGTAGGCTCTCCACAATGAGCCCTGTACATTTTTGCCACACTCTCACATGGACTAAACCTTTGTACCCCTTTACTTGCAACCGTATCACTCAGTAAGAGAGTCATCCACCCTCAGGAAAGATACATCCTTTTTAGTCAGCTCCTGAGCTTCCCATCAAAGATGGAAGGTGATGATTCCAAGAAAGCCACTTTCAGAGTAATGCCCCAAGCACGGCTACAGTGCCAGAGCTGAGAGCCTCTTTTATTATCCCCAGCAGCCACCTTATCCTCAGAAGTAAATAATGCACTGGAAGGGGTAACATTTTTGCTCTAGCTGCATCTCAGGCTGACAGCTCCTAGCACAGAGCAGGAGTGGCACCAAGGGAAGTTCCTCCAGCCTGCACTGCCCAGGGCCGTGTCCAAGAGCTGACTGCTATGCTGTCAGTTACAGCTGCACAAGGATGTTGGGTGCTTAGCAAATGCACAGAATTAGATGACTCAGCCATACAGCAATGCCAGCATTTTGAGCATAACCAGAACCACCTGACAAGGTCCAGGATTAAAATATCATATGGAATATAAGGTAGGCAGTTATGCTCAGTAGGGATGGAGCTCCTGTTTCACTGAAATTGCTCTTACTGTTGCTGAACATATAACAGAACTGGGAAAAGGAAACATTTTTGCTCTAATTTTCAAGTGGGAAGAGGCAGTATCTTGACCATTATTAAAAGCTTACGTAGTAAAACACATCCTGTGAACTGGAAAAACAAGCTACATTTTTTTTTAATTAAAAATCAACACAATATTACATTCTGAAATTACACAAAATCCAAGATTTGTTCTAATACACAGACTTAGGCAGAATTATTGCCCGTGTCTGGCTACTGTTATAAATTATATTGAATTGTTTTTGATAAAAACAATTTCTGTAACACTACAGGCGAATGACTTCACATGACAAAACCAGCAAATATAAATAACTTCGTATTGCAAGGAAGAGACAGACAGGAGAAGCTCTGGAAAGGCCAAAGAAAAAAAGCAGACTTCAGTAATTACATTCTCCTTCTGTTCCCAGTGCCCGTGGAGCCTTCCAGTAAGTCTAAGTCAATGCCTGTGCTCGTGATACTTTATGCCTTACACAAGATAGACATATCTTTAAAACACTGCTATTTCAGCAGGTTTGTAATTAGCTGGACCTAATTCTCCTCAGCTGCACACACACACACACACACACATCTGTCTTCCACTCACAAAGGGAATAGGTTTACAGGTCCTTGCAGGATCTGTTAGCTAGCCACAGTGACTCTGATTTATTCGGCAAGGTTACAGTTCTCCTGCCAAGTCTGAAACACAGCTAATGGATAGGCAACAGACTTCTCAAGATTCACCCTGTAACACTGCTTTGCAGTAATCCTGAACCAGTAAGCAATCACAAATTGAAGTAAAAAGAATTATAAGTAAAGAAAAAGTAAAGTAAAGAATTATATTTTCTTTACACAGAACACTGGCTAACGTGAGCTTGGAGTGCACCACTTTCCTTCCACCAGTAGCCCAGAGTACCTTGCAGTCCATTTCTGTATACATCATCACCTGTATTAATTCAGTTTTCCACCATGTGGCCTTTTATAAGTGCTGAAGGACTGGAACTTTGAATGCTAGGTAGTTTTTCATCTGCCACCCACTCAGATGTTAGGGAAATGGTAGTTGGATTTCCTCGTTTTGCAGAAGTACTTCTTGCTGTCCAAAGCTGGCAGAACATTGCTGCTGCTTAACTGAGGCAGGTACTGGAAGTAAAGCAAGAGTTACATCACGTGTAGTTGTTTGAAAGAAGGAGAAAGCATGCAGTTCATCTTTCAAACAGGGATATAAGGCATAAAATTATTCATACTGCACTCCTGTACTTTTCAAACTAAGAGTCACGAGCACATGCAGTTTGCTCAGCAGTCCTGCTACACCTCATCCAGAATGCACTTTCCTAAATAAACCTCATCTGTCACACTGCTGTGCTGCCTATCCCCAGTCACCCGATGGAGCTGCAGTGCAGAATTCAGCCTGCAATGAGTTCCTCTTGAACCAGGAGATTCCTTTTGGATCTGTTCAGGTGTTGTACTGAAGGACATGGTTTAGTGGGAAATACTGGTGGGAGGTGGCTGCTTGGACTGGATCCTGGAGGTCTTTGCCACCCTTAGTGATTCTGTGGTTCTGTGATCTTCTCCTCGGGCTAAAATTAAGGCTGCTCCAATGTGAGAACTTCACCTCCCCACGAACTGCCCAACCTGTTCCTGAGCCCGACTTGTGGGCACCACATTAAGAAAACAACTTCCCTCCCTGGACACTGAGCATTAAACACTGCAATGAAAGCATTACCCCCGGCACATGCTTCCGTGTCAGCTTGGCTGGTTTCCGAGCTGCTTTTTCATGTTCTTTCCCCAGATCTGCCTCCCTAAGGCTGTCGAAATAGGGGTGCTGCAGCAGCTGCTCACACGTCTGCCTCTCTGCAGGGTCCATACGAAGGCAGCCCTTAGAAAAGACCAAGGGTCACACAGAACATAAAGACACATAAAGGTCTGCATGATTCCAGCTCTTTGCAACAGCCAATGAGTATTTGCAAGGATGGATGCATAGGTTTTATTTTTCAAGGAATTCTACAAATCTGGCTTTTTAGTGTCAGCTGGAAGCTTGCAAAGCAGCTCACATGAACAAATGCCACCTCTGACAGAAGGCAATACTTAGAAACTAAGGCTAGAGGGACACTTTTGTTCTACAGCAAACCATCAAGTCTCAGAACAGCTAAGCCCATGACTTCCAGTTGAACCAGAACAGTCTTCTTAAACTGAGGGATCCAGTGCATCACTAGCTGTGTTGTTCCAGGGTTTGGTGCTACCTAAAGCTGCACCTTAGTTTTAATGCATTCACCCTCACGGTTTCCACTTGGTGCATCTCAATGGAACAATTTGTTTTCCATGTCTGTGCTAAAGGTGAGTGGGTTAACAAGAAGCAGATTCAAAGTTTTCTCCAGTTCCCCTTCAGCTCTCTTCTTCTATGAACCTATGATCATTCAGTAGCCAAATCTCAAACCATCTACCATCTGAACAAGCAAAGCAGACTGCATTTGTTAAGTCTCAGCGTGGAGCTCAAGCTGTAGCTCCTTGCCTCCTGGGCACGCTGCTTCGGGTAGAGGACCTTGTGAGCTTCAGCTTCAGACACTTTGCTTACCTTCATGAGAGCTAAAGCAGGGTATGAAATAGTAGGAAATTTCATTTCCAATGGCTCCTGGAGGAAAAAGAGAGAAAAAAAAGTAGTTGTATTAGCAAGCCTTTCTTTCACCACGTTGCCTATAGATTGCTGGTTAGTGCTGAGCTCGAGGGGAACGCATCTGAAGGGAGCTCCTACCATGCTCTCTGGGTCTGGAATCGTGACGCCGCTGAAGAACTGGTTGGTGCTGAACACTTGCTGGTGCCTGGGAATAAGATCCCCTTTGAGCAAGGAGGAAACAGAATTAAAATCAATCAGAACAATTGGCTGGTTTTACAGTGTCTGCTATGAGCAAGCTGATCTAACAAGGCTGGCAGCATCCAAGAGAATACTTCAAGTACCATCAGAGGAGCCAACAAAATACTGTTCTGTGAGCACCCCCCATCAGTCACCTCAAGGAATTGGAAGTTTAACTATACTCTTAGCTAAGGAGTTTACGGCCCCGGCTCACCTTCCTGCCTGTATACATTGCTCAGCGAAACATCACAGTTCTCCACTCATTCCAATACGAGTTACACACGGAGCTCTGTTCCCTCCCAGCCCAGAAATCAGTCACTGCACAGCGGCATCCACAGAGGAAACCCATCCTCGTGCAGCCACGGTGAGCCTGCTGCTTACCCAGCGTTCTGCGGATCAGGTACAGCTGGTCCACGTCCGACTTGCCGGGCCACAGCGGCACCCCGGAGAGCAGCTCCGCAAAGACGCAGCCTATTGCCCACACGTCCACCGGAGGGCCGTATTGCGTGTCCCCAACCAGCAGCTCGGGAGAGCGGTACCACCTGGTGGCCACGTAGTCTGTGTAGTAATCAGCCGGGCCAGCTGGGTTGGGGTCAGGAAGGAGAGGAACAAAGCGGGGTGTGGGGTCAGAAGGGTGCGGACGCAGCTCAGGGCAGCAACAAGAGGCTGCCCAGAGAGGCTGTGATGCCCCGTCCATCCCTGGAGGTGTTGAAGGCCAGGTTGGATGGGGCCCTGGGCAGCCTGGGCTGCTGTGAAATGGGGAGGTTGGTGGCCCTGCCTATGGTGGGGGTTGGAGCTTCGTGATCCTTGAGGTCCCTTCCAACCCTGGCCGTTCTATGATTCTGAGATCAACAGCATCTTTGGGACCCATGTGAGCTCCAGGAACAGGATGAGTCACTGCCCACCAGCAGAATCCAACTTTGCAAATACTCAGGAGTTGAGAAAAACCCAGAGCATGTTTTTCTCAAAATGAAAACACACAGAGCTCGGCTGCAGGCCCCGTGCCAGCTCTCAAAGCCCACATGATTTGCTTGAACAACAGCTACAAAAATAAAATCGGGGGCTTTATTACGATGGAAAATGTGAAGCTATTGTTTGCAGAGATGGCACCTTCTGCCAAAGGGAGCCCTCCTGCTAGGGAACTCCAGCTGTGCCCCAGCATTGCACAAGCAGTGGTCAGGCCAGCCGCCGGCTCAGCACCAGCAGGGAGCTCAGGGCAAATTAATTATAGAGGCATTCAAATGTCTGAGCCAGCCCTGTTTAATCTGCTCTGGGGATCCCAATCCAAGCATCTCCAGTGCCTTCAGCAGAAGCTCTTTGTAAAAACACACCAGCCCTTATATGTTACACAAGATGTAACGTTACTGAGGCCTGAAAGCCCAAACCTGCGCTTCACTGAGCCCTGGCATGTACCACCCATGGAGGCAGGCAGCAGCACTCACTCAGCATGCGAGCAAATCCGAAGTCACAGAGTTTGATGACAGAGTGTTTCGTTATCAGGATGTTTTCTGGCTTTACATCTCGGTGGATGCACTGGAAACAAAATCAGAAAGTAAAAACCAAAGCACATCAAGGTTAGAAACAGCCATTTTAGCTTGGAAAACAGCTATTGTTAGCTTGGAGAAGAGGGGACTCCAGGGAGACCTCATTATGGCCTTTCAGTACTTGAAGGAAGCAGAGGGGAACGGCTGTTTGTGAGGGTGGATGGTGATGGGACAAGGGGAATGATTTTAAAATGAGACAGGGGAGGTTTGGGTTGGATATGAGGAGGAAGTTTTTCAGCCAGAGGGTGGTGAGGCACTGGCACAGGTTGCCCAAGGAGGCTGTGGATGCCCCATCCCTGCAGGCATTCAAGGCCAGGCTGGATGTGGCTCTGGGCAGCCTGGGCTGCTGGTTGGCGACCTGCACACAGCAGGAGGTTGGAGCTGGATGAGCACTGTGCTCCTGTGCAACCCAGGCCATCCTGTGATCCTGTGATTCTATTTAACCTGGCCCTTGGACAAAGAATTGCTCAATTTAGCTGCTGTTAGTTTCTTCTCCTAGGGACTGAAGTGCTCCTTGCCAACCCAGCATCACAGAGTTCCAGAGAAGGGTGACTGCATAAAACCTCATCACTTGTGATCTACAGCAGGTCAGGCTGTGCTATCTAATTGTCCCCCAGCTTTAAAACTCCATTAAATCTTTCAGACTGAGAAAGAGAGAATGAAAAAGTCAAATCACAGCTCTCGTTGGTGCTGCTCAGGGGACTTACGTTGTGTTTGTGACAAAAGTTCACAGCTTGGAGGGTCTGCCAGGTGATGCTCCTGACCAGATGCTCCGGCACCCTGTAACAAGAGAGCACATTTTTACTCTTTGGATCAAACAAATTCACTATTACAGGAGAAAGCAGAGCCTGTTGCAGGAGGCAAAGCTCTCCTGGGAGACTGCTGTCCCAGCACAGCAGGAGGAGCTGAGGGACCATCAGCACCACTTCCCCATCTGGTCAGCACAATGAGAGAGCAGGATGTATGGCAACCCAGAGCATGCCACAGCACCCGGTGCCACTCAGCCAGTTTCAAGCTCAAAACCAATTTTATTTCCTACGTTTAATGCTGCAAGACTTTTGATCCATCATCAATAAAAAAATAAGCCAAAATGAAATGCAAGAGGCTGGCTTCAGGAGACCCGCCGCTGTCAAAACAGAAAGTATTGTGCTGATGCAGCTGTTGAAAAGCTTGAGTTTCCTTGCAGAAACATCCTAGAAGGCTGAGTGCTGTGCTGACAGAGGGATGAAGCTGGTGAGACGACCCAGAACAGTGAGTGAAGAGGCACGAGCCCTCCCTTCTTAACCCTGACTGTGAAAGGCTTTACCTTCTGCAGGAGCAGAGATCAAAAGCCAAGTATGGCTGCCAGGGGGAAGCTGTGTGCTGTGAGAGTGGTGAGGTGCTGGAACAGCTGCCAGAGAGGCTGTGATGCCCCGTCCATCCCTGGAGGTGTTGAAGGCCAGGTTGGATGGGGCCCTGGGCAGCCTGGGCTGCTATGAAATGTGGAGGTTGGTGGCCCTGCATGGCACAGGGGGGTTGGAGCTTCGTGATCCTTGAGGTCCCTTCCAACCCAGGCCATTCTGTGATTCTATGAATTAAGGAGGATATAAGAGGTGGGATTCTCAAAGGAACAAACCTGGAAAATGTTCCTTCTGTTCTCGTAGCTCACACTGTGTGCACGTGGCTGTTTGCAGAGGAGGGTATCTGACCCCTGGGAGCTCCACAAGGCACAGCTCAGGAAATCCTGCCAGCCAACACACACTCCTGGACTCCACCACTGCTCTGCTACACAGCAGGTCAGTGCCATCATTATGGGCTGCGTCCATGCTGGCTGCTCTGCCACAGCCCTGACCTCTTAGCAGTGGGACACAAAGCCTCCTGCAGCCACTCAGCCCCACTGCTGCCCAGCCAGCTGCACACCACCCAAACGCTCAGCGCCCTGCTCAGCATGATCACAGAATCACAGAATCACAGGGTTGGAAGGGACCTCAAGGATCACGAAGCTCCAACCCCCCTGTGCCATGCAGGGCCACCAACCTCCACATTTCACAGCAGCCCAGGCTGCCCAGGGCCCCATCCAACCTGGCCTTCAACACCTCCAGGGATGGACGGGGCATCACAGCCTCTCTGGGCAGCTGTTCCAGCACCTCACCACTCTCACAGCACACAACTTCCCCCTGACATCCAACCTCCATCTGCCCTCCCTCAACTCCAAACCATTTCCCCTTGTCCTGCTGCCATCTCCCCTTTCCAAGAGCTGACTCCCCTCCTGTCTGCAGGCTCCCTTTAGGCACTGCAGGCTGCACTGAGGTCACCCCGCAGCCTTCTTTTCTCCATGCTGAACAAGCCCAGCTCCCTCAGCCTGTCTTTGTAGTGGAGGTGCTGCAGCCCCCTGCTCATCTCTGTGGCTCCTCTGGACCCTCTCCAGCAGCTCCCTGTCTTTCCTGTACTGGGGGCTCCACACCTGAACACAGTATTCCAGATGGGGCCTCACAAGAGCAGAGCAGAGGGGGACAATCACCTCCTGTCCCTGCTGCCACCCCTCTGCTGATGATGAGCCACACCATGCAGGAGCACAGGTGGGCTTAGGGGCAGCAACAGGTAACCCTGGGCACCGTGATGAGAAATCTGTACTGGTACGAATGATATTCTGGGAACTCTTCAGAGCTGCAGTGGGCTCCCATGGACAGCCCTGGCTCCTTTGCTCCAAGCTCCCAATGAGAGAATGGCCACTCACCCCCGCGGGTGCTTATCCAGCTCGTGGAGAACGGTGTGGTCGCAGTACTCAAAGACCAGGTGCAGCTTCCTCTTCCTCCTGAACACCTCCAGCAGGTTCACCAGGTTGGGGTGTTTCAGTTGCTGTAACACACAGCAGGCAGGTCGGTTGGTTACTGCACGTACCCAGGCTTTGCAGCTATGAAAAGCGGCTCTCCTTGGGGAATCACACGGTGACAGAGCAACACACGGTGAGGAAAACAGAGCTCCTCCGATAAGCGCAAAGAAAGTACGTGGACTCAGCATCTCCAAGCTGTTGCCAGAATTTGGATGGGTTAACAAGCGTATTTCTAAGCAAGGGAGCTGCAAAGGGCATTGCCTAGGAGCCACACTAACCCTGCCTTCCAAGGGGCCTCTCCATCAGACAGTGCCTGCAAAGGAGCGGGGAGCAGAAAAGCACAAGGAGCCGCAGCTGGGGAGCATCCCAAAAAGCCCTGCTGCGATTCCCCCTTTGGGAAGCAGCAGTGTTGGCTTTCCACTGCCCCCAGCGGGGTCCGCATGCAGACCAGCTCTGTTTTGCACATTTCCAGCACACCCCTCAGGATCCACCTGCTGCCCACTGCATGGAACGGTCCTCTGTCAGACCGACGTCACACAGGCACACCTTTGGCAAACAGCTGCTGCTGAGCCGGGCACTGCTGCCACAAACAAGCTGTTACTATTGACAGAAGGCTGAGCAGCCAGCCACGCAGCTCTGCACTCCGTAACCCAGCGCTGCTGGGCTGCTGCTGGCCCTGCGGCCCTCAGGATGCTGCTCCACCATCTACGTTACCACAGACTTCTGCACTTCTCCTGCCCGCATCTGCAATGCCATTTAAATCTTAATGTACTGTTTGCTAAAACAGCACAGCTATCAGGCCTCTGTGCTCCTCTGACAGTAACATGGTGTTGTTACTTATGGAGGTGTTCAGTGAGGGATGAGGGGATAGCATGAGAGGCATTGGGAAACGCTGTGACCTGCAGAAATCTCCTCTGCTTTGGGGAGCTGAGGGCCACCTGCTTCCCAGAGAGCAAAGCTGGGCAGCTCCGTGGAAGGGAGCATTGCAATAAGCAGCCACAGGCTGGGAGCATGGAGAAAGGAGCTGGAATCATAGAACCACAGCATGACCTGGGTTGTAAAGGAGCACAGCGCTCATCCAGCTCCAACCCCCCCCTGCTGTGTGCAGGTCACCAACCAGCAGCCCAGGCTGCCCAGAGCCACATCCAGCCTGGCCTGGAATGCCTGCAGGGATGGGGCATCCACAGCCTCCTTGGGCAACCTAAGGAATGGGTCAGAACATCATTCTCTGCAGCTCTATGGGGTTCTGTTAACTTCAGAACCTTAAGCCCTTGGTGGACTGCAAGAATGCGGTGTGTCCAGGCTGACTGCATGGCTCCTGTGAAGAAAACACCTTACAGGGGCTCCTTTGGCGTTTGTAAAGCTGTTCTTCTCTTGCCCCGGTGTGGCTGCCCCCCTACCAACGCTGTGTTATGGCAGAGGAAGGGAAACGTAGGGACGGAGTGTTCCTATGGCTGTGGCACGGCTGCTCAGGGTGCCATGGAGACCAAACGAACACAAGAGCAGAAAGAGGCAGACTGAGCAAAGGGCTGCGAGCCACAAAGCTACGGACACAACCTCCGGCTGCGGGAGCTGTGCCTGAAGGCTCCGGGGAAGGAACCCCAGAACCATGAGGCCAGAGGCCAGGTCAAAGCCATTAGGAGCGCGGCCATCCCTTCCATGGGCACAGCGGCCACGTCAACCCCTCTCCGCAGCGCACCGGACGGACGCTCGCCCGCCCCCCGCGCGGTGCCGCCCACCTTCAGCATGCGGATCTCCCGCAGCGCGATTTTCCGGATCACCGGGTCCTCCTCGGACTCCAGGAACTTCTTGATGGCCACGATCTGACCCGTCTCCCTGTTGCGGCACTTGAAGACGACGCCGTACGAGCCCTCTCCGACCTTCCCCAGCTTCTCGTACCGCTCCATGGCGCGGCTGCGCCCCGACCTGAGCCCGGAGCCGCGGTCAGCGCCTCCCCGGGGCGGGGAGGAGGAGGAGCTGCGCCCGGGGCCGCCGCGACGGGCACGGCGCTCTCCTCCAAGACCCGAGGGCTCCGAGCTGCGTGCGGGCAGCAGGGAGCGGGGAGGCTGATCCCGAACCTGGAGCAGCCCGGTGGGCTCCTACCAGCAGCAGGCCTTCCGTCTCCTTTTGTCCTCGCACACACCGCGCGGGAGCGGCGTGGTCACCGTCCCTGCAGGTGCTGCAGAGCCGTGGAGATGCGGCACTGAGGGATGTGGGCAGTGGGCACGGAGGGTGGGATGGGGGTGGGCTTGGAGAACTCAGCTCAGAGAACTCACTTTTCTGAGTGATTCTATGGCTCTTTGTGCGATGTCCCCCAGCAGAACTGCAGGTCACCGAGGTGCTCCTGGCTCCATCAGGACAGCAGGGCACTCAGCCCTGCCTGTGGCCCTTCCCACCGACTGCCACGAAGGCAGAGATCAGCTTACCGGGCTCCATCCGATGAGGCATTGTTCCCAGCAAGTGCACCGCACCACACCGAGGTATCGAATAAAGCATCGTTTATTTGGCATAGACTGAAACGAGCAGCAACAGAAACAGAAGCAGAACAAAAAGCCTAAGTTGCCCAAATGGGAACGCATTCCATCAGCCTCGGTTACAATCTATGAAACAAAACAGAAAGTCTCAACAAACAGACGGCGCCCATCGGAGGCAGCTGGGCATGGACCACGTGGCCACTGGTGCCAAACTGCTCAGAGGAAGCAGGGAGGCTCTGCAGTGGGAATCAGCACCTCACAGCTACGTAAAACCGGGCTGCACATTTCAGAACACGCCGTGAGAAACTTCAACAGCTCCAAAAGGGGGTTTGATTACAGGAGGAGTTTCCTCTACAACATCCATATGCCGTGCTTCACTTTTTCTTTGCTTCTGCAGTAGAGCTGCTGCTGTGATCCCGGGGCACCACCTGGGGCTGCTCACCCAGCACTGCTCACCTGCACTGCCACCCAGGGCACCCAGCTCAGTGCTGCAGAGCTCAGCTTCCTTCACACGTGGAACTTAAACCTCTCCCTCACGGTGCCCATCCAGCTGCCCACTCGGCCAACTTCCAAGCATTGGTGGTGGCTGACTTTGAGGTTCTGGACGTACATCAGTTATCAAACCCTGATATGGATATGGAACTGAAAAGCCAGACTTGATGTAAACCTCAAGTCAGTACCAAGAACGGCTTCTGAATGACACTGCTAAGTAGATAAAGCACTACACAGCATGCAGTCTGCTGGTGCTCCTTCCTGACCTTCAGAACACCCACACTGGCAACAAAACACATTACTGATGCACCACGTGTGTGAGCTCATCCCATCGGTGTTCAATTCCAACCAGCAGGTTGGTGCCCACACAGACGTGCCTGCACTCCATCTGTCAGGTTGGGAGTTCAATCAACCTCCTCCAGTTCTGCTCACAGCCTCGAGCCATGCCCAGCTTAGTGCCATGCTTCCATTCCTGCCCCCTCACAGCGATGCACAAAGCTCCAGACCCATCTCTCTTAGGGCAGCAGGATGGATGCTGCACGCTGCAGGGCTCCATTAAGTTGTGTGCTGTGAGAGTGGTGAGGTGCTGGAACAGCTGCCAGAGAGGCTGTGATGCCCCGTCCATCCCTGGAGGTGTTGAAGGCCAGGTTGGATGGGGCCCTGGGCAGCCTGGGCTGCTGTGAAATGTGGAGGTTGGTGGCCCTGCATGGCACAGGGGGGTTGGAGCTTCGTGATCCTTGAGGTCCCTTCCAGCCCACTCCATTCTATGATGCTATGATTTCACGATTTCAGAGCCTTCCAATCTTACCAAAGCACTGCTCCATCTGCCTACAGACTGAAGCAAGCAGGTGGACGTAAGGTAACAAAACCAGATGCCATCATCAGCCCAAGGTACCTCAAAGTCTTAATGAACAAGAACGACAAACGAACCCACATGGCTTTTTAATGGAGGAACAAAACCAGAAGGAACAAACGCAGCTGACAGAACAGGGAAGGGGAAGAGATGATGGAAAGCTTTAATACAGAATACTGCTTCTTATCGTATTTATTTATACCACCCAGCGGGGAACGCGGCACCCAAAGCCCAAGAGGAGGAGGAGGGCAGAGCAGAGGGCCGTGCAGCTCCGCTCTCCCCCTGGGAACAGCATAAATAACCTACACGTCAGGGCAGCCCGATACACGACGCTTCCATTCGTTAAGGATGAGGCCCGGGTGCAGTTTCCACCTCCTGCCACCAGGCTCGTCCCTAACTTGTGAAAAGAAAGCATAGCTATTTTGTACATTTATATATATATATAAATATATATATAGATATAAAAATACACGCCGCCGGTCAGCTGGATACACATGCACACATGCACACACACGGATGTGTCTGGCACACACCCACCCGGCAGCAACACGTCAATACCAACACTGCATTTTGTGTACAGCACCCCTACGTCTAGCAAAGAAGAAAATCCCTTTTATGGCAATTCTGCAGGCAAGAAGAAAATCCATACAAAATACTTGGTTGTACAAAACTGCATTTTTACAAAGTCCGACGCTGTAACATAGCCTCAGTAATGCACTACATCTCTACAAGGAAAAGAATCGTCGAATCTTTATACAGCTGTAAAAAACCAAACCTGTGAGCTGCTCCACAACCTTCCTGTGCTCAAAGTTAGATCCGTGACACCACCCTAGCAGCAGATTAATAAATAAGGATTAAATAGTCTATAGTACAAAGCCATACCGAACGGCAGACTGAAAACCAAGGAGCTCTGCGGATACTTTCACTCCCTACACAAATTGGGTTTTTTAATTAAGAAGACTCGGTATAAAAGGGGGAAACAGCCACTAGGTCTGTATCTACAGAATGCACGGGAAGCCCGAGGGAAGTAAAATAATTAACAGTTTATGGCACCTTTACTGAATAACATTATTTTAAAGGCTCTGTTTCCCTACACTAATGAGTAAAGGGCTACTTAGATCATAGCTTTTATTAAGCAAACTTGACATAACCAACCACACAGTGGCAAGAGACAGAACCAGCTGTTCCCAGCTGCTAAAATGTATTGATTTCCACCTGAAAACAGCAAAACGTAGGTGTCAAGAGAAGCAAAGAGTCACAGTCCCACATGCACTGAGTTTCCTAATGCTCCTTTTTCCCCCCGCGGTGAATCCCCCACGTTGGGTCACTGCAGCTCAGTAACTGTTTTCGTGGCCAGCCAAGATGTACAGGTTGCTGTGTGCAGTTGGGTTCTCCGTCGGCCTGCTCTCCAGCACCACCACTCTGCAACCAAACACAAACAACACCCAAGCAGTCAGCAGCAAAGCACACAGTACGTGGCTGTTACAGCTTTCTCGAGGCTGGGGGGAGAGGGAGCTCCTAAATATTGGGGCATTTTCTCCTTTAAACCCGTTACCTCCTTTCCCACTCTGTAGCATCTCTTCCTTAACAACACCCAGGCAAACAAGGGGCAGGGGAGCAGTCTGCCCTCCGACCCACAGGCAGCCCTTCCTGTCCTTCCCTTCTGCACCTCCATAGCTCTGATGGGATCCAAGCCAGAAAGGTGTTACTGGAGCTCACCTGAGTGTAGTAAGAAAGTCTTCTGTCTGGACAGTGATAAAAGGAGGAACCGGGCAGCTTGAGAAGGATGGAAAAAACTGCACAAAGCAGCAAAAGCTTATTGTGATCAACTTGCTCTACTGGGGGTCAGTGGGAAGGAAATCACCACTGCCTGTCATAGAATCACAGAATCCTAGAATGCCCTGGGTTGCAAAGGAGCACAGTGCTCATCCAGCTCCAACCCCCTGCTGTGTGCAGGTCGCCAACCAGCAGCCCAGGCTGCCCAGAGCCACATCCAGCCTGGCCTTGAATGCCTGCAGGGATGGGGCATCCACAGCCTCCTTGGGCAACCTGTGCCAGTGCCTCACCACCCTCTGGCTCAAAAACTTCCTCCTCATATCCAACCATGCAACACAACAGGCAGAGCCCTGCCAGAGGCTGCACAGCCTTTGTATGTCTGCAGTCAGAGGTGGCTGTGGGAAGAACACTCAATTCCAATGGCAGTGCTCAGGCACAACGAGCCCCCAGTGGCTCAGGTGCGCAGCACAGACTGCAGTGGGGAAATACACAAACACCTCCAAACCCAGGAGAACTCGGGCAGCTTCAGCAAAGCTCTCCCACTGGAGGCAGCAGTGTGCACTGCAGCCTTAGGGCTAACAAGGTGAATGCACCACAGCACGTTCAACCCTCAATGAGCTCAAGTTTGCTTCACTATTTCCACTTCTCAGGGTCCAGAGCAGCAAAGGCCTTTTTAGAAGTGATCTGTTGCCAGATAGCGTCAGTTCAGCGTGAAAATCATCACAGCTGTTGCAGGTAGAAACAAGTGAGACTTGTCCTGCAGGACTGCCTACAGATGGATCTGCTGTGGGATGGAAGCCCACATGTGTGGAAGCTCATTGAAAGAAAACAGGTGTGTGTTTCTTCACACTGATTACCTGTCAGAGCCCAGTAAGCGAAAAACCCTGGTTTCATCTGATATCTCCTGGGTAACCTGCAGAAAGATGGAGATATTAAGGTCCATTTCAGAGGCAAAATGAGATGCCCTGGTGTGAGCTGGAAGGAAGAAAGAAATCAAAAATGCAAATATAATTCAGGGAAAATTACAGGACTGAATCAGACAAAGTGGTGCTAAGTAAAGAAGCGTTCTGAACTTCATAAAGTAAAGCTCACTTTCAATCATTTTTTTACTGCTGCTTACACCAGATCTGCAGAGCCTCTGTGTGATGCTCCTGCAAACAGAGGTGCTTAAAGCACAGTGTGAGCTTGTCAGGAGCAACACATCAGGGCAGTCAGAGAAAGCGAGCAGCAAGCTGAACCAGGCCAACAGGGGGCATGAGCACTGTCACCTGGGGAGCAGCTGGGGGGGCCTAAGGGTCAACTGGCAAATAAGGAGCAGGACTCGGTCAAACCAGGAGACAC